AATTTCCTTTTAAACATATTAGTTGTTTGACATTCCAATGCAGTGCTATGGTAAGTAACAGAGTAATAGGTCCCTTCAATAGCAAAATTATGTTTGTATCTAAGATCTCAATAGCAAATTATTCTTGGTTACACTTTTACTTATTTCTGACCTAAATGGAAAATTGATCTTAATATTAGGACTAAGGATCCATGGCTTAGTAGGAATTACCTGTTAAAAGTAGGGATACTATATTGAATTCAAACTAATTCTGTCTTTGTAATAAGGAATGATTGCTTACTCCACAAAACAGTTTACTGAAAGAATAAAAACTAATTGTAGATAGAAACCAACACAGCATAAAATATTTTTAGTCATATAAAATTCAGTGAGCACTTAGGTTTTATTAGTGAATAAACGAAAATGCTTTGTAATATCTGAGATTGTTACTGTCGGTGTTAGACTTCTTTGTGTAGATTTACACTATTATAATTGGTTTATTTGAATAACATAATTTTACATGTAATTCTTATTTTTCAGTCCACTGGGATTACATATTGCTATTGAAAAAAAAAATCTGCTGGTTTTATTACACAAAGCAAATTATCAGTAATCTTGTGGACTATATGAATTCTTTCTTAAATTATGTCTTATTTACCCAAAAGTAAAGAATGTCAATTTTATAACTATTGTGTGCCTTTCAGTTTCCATACTTGGGACAAGTAAGAACAGCCATCGTCTTCTTCCCCTAGCCCCAACTTAACAACCCAAACACCCAAGTCTATGATAGGGAGCCTGAAACATTGCGCAGTTTGTAGAAAAGTGACAAAATTAATTGTGTGGATTCCTAAGACACTTATAACTAAAATTTGTTAGAAAAATGTTTTTGTTGTCTTCCAAAAATTTCACTAACATTTTTGCATGAAACACAGATTTTCAATGCCAGCTGAAAATCTTACCCTTCCAGAAATAAGGAGAATGAGAAGCCCTTTACTGCACATTTTAGAGAATTTTCACCAACAGAATCCATATAACTCTTAAATTTTGTCATGTAAGATTTAAAGGTTTTCTCTTTCAAATATTTTTGATTATACCGGTTATAAATTAGCATTCTCTACTGTGATTTAATATTTAGAAACCAGCTCAATTACTTAGAAGCAAAAATGAAAATGAATTATACTTTCAATAATAAAACAGATTATGAACTATTCCTTGAAATGGTTTTGTCGCCTTGTTTTGGATCTCTCATTTTTAAACCTTTTCTCTTCACAGTGGGGTGACTCAATTTTAGTAGCATTTAGGCTTTGGTGAGGACTTGGGCTGTGAAGAGAGAAGACAGGACAACTCCGACAGACTAGTGAGCCACTAGCACCTCGGACACCACAGGGGTGAAAAGACTACTCAGGAAAGGGTTGCTGAATGAATGAATAAAACATATTTTTTCAAACAACACCTTTCAAAAATTTAAAGTGCAACACTGTGACAGAGGTTCGTCGATTCAGGACTAACCATGACAGATTTGAGTGCTCATTTCACACTGGCCGTTATGCTATAGCCACACACACACACACACACACACACACACACACACACAGTGTGTTTAAAACATTTAGTATGGTGGCCAGTACAGAGAAAGCATGTGTGAGTGTGTATTCATGGTAAGTCCATGAAGTAATTATCACTAGCCAAATCAGAATTACAAAAGTTGCAGATTAATAACTGTTGGAGTTAGCTTCCAACATCAAGACCCTCGGACAACCAGAACTTGGGTTCAATAGACAATTCTCTGGAAAAAAATAATGATGAGGATAATCCTGATTAAGCAAGACATGCCACAGGAGTTGTATTACCAACCACCACCAAGCGAGTCGGTAGTGAGTGTGGGGTTCCCTGTGATGGGTCTTGTTGGCTACTCAGTGCTTCTACAACACCCCATGTGTATCTGCTATAGCCATCAGCACTTTACATCATAATTACTTATGTGTCCATATCTCCCACAAGATCATGACTCCTTGAAAGAGAGATGGACCTTGTCATTTTTAAGTTCCCCTGGTATCTGGCATACTGTCTGGTGTGTGACAGGTATCCCCTGAATGTTGAAAGGAGGCCACTCTGCCCTGGCAGTTCCTAAATCCTAGGATAAATAGATATTTTTTTATTGAATTCACTTCAGTTGTGTATTTCAGAGAAGGTACTTACGTTTATAAATAGTAACAGTCCACAAAATGTTCTCCCAATAGAATGAACTTCCGTCAATTTCAGTGCATGTATTACACCCCGTAACATCCAATTACAATGTCTAATATCCTTAATTAGGGCACAAAGCTGGAAGCAGGCCACTGAGGCATGTTATCAGAATCTATCAGACCACTTGAGCATGGATATTCTTATAGTCTTGGCCGAAGCAGGAAATGTGTGGGGGATAAAAACCAGGATGCTACATCTTGACTCTGGAGTGTCTCACCACTACTAGTCCCTAGCAGGGAAGGAGGCAGGCAGGGGCAGATGGCAGATCACAGAGTAGGACAGTCCTCTGAGGATCCAGTGTGGTGGATTCTCACCCAGATGGAGGGGGTGCTGTGTATCACAGTGTAGGGGTGGGTGGTAAATATATGGTTGGGTAACGAACAAGGGTGGTTCTTTGAGGACAGTATACCCGAGCCTACGAAGACCTTATCAGAAAATGATCAATGTAGTACCTGCCAGTCTGAGATTGTCCTCACATTTTAATACAAAGTTTCTATGGTCTCAAGAAGAATCTCTAACTTTCAACTTCAATCACTAACCATGACTTTCACCCAAATATTACTTTCCTTCAATCCTGAACATCCAAATTCTGCCCCTATATCTATGTGGAGCGATATTAAAAGTTATGGTTCTTAAAGAAAAATGGGTCGATGTCTTAATTCTCATTTGCATTTGATATGATGATGACCAGCTATGAAAATATTTGCAGAGGCTCTTTTTAAAAATAAAATGAATAAATACCTTCTTGAAAACTTTACTTTATTAGAGAATCTAGCCCAAATGTGGAAAATTTAAAATCACTCTATTTACCAAAACTGGCTAACAATAAGCTTACTAGGAAAAAAGAAAAAAGAGAGAGAGAACAACAATGATCAGTAAATGCCTACACTTAACATTCTTCTGGGATAATTTTAAGATCCATGTTGATGTACTTATAAGGTAAATCCCTCTATTTAATAGTAATAAAAAAATTCCCACGTAACATTTTGTTTTTTACACTCATATACACATATAAAAGTTGGGAAACATGTCTCAGAAACATGTTTATAATGGATATACATATTATTGTGAAATATAATCTGAATAAAAATTTTATTCCAACAACATTTCTCTATTTTAAATCATGTTTATTGTTTAAGTTTTTATCACAGTGGAGATTAATTTATGCTTAATCATCCATTGAGTGCCTACTGTCAACTTCATCCAATTCCAAAAAAGTAAAGTCAACTCATTCATACACTCTAAGCCTGTTCCCATCCCACCATTCATTGCCTGTGCCTTTTTTCCCTTTTAACGGCAACATAACGATAAGATTGTGAAAAGGTATAACTAATAGACTTATATGTATTATACCATTTCTTCAAGTATTCAGAGAGCAGTACGTCTGTCTGCATTGTACATTAGAAAACTATTTGTGACATTATTTCTAAGTAGAGGAGAGTGGCTCCTGGTGGGAGTGTAATGAAGTTGTATGTCATAGTGTATGACAAGGATTTACAGCATTCTAGAATTTTCACAACTCTTCCCATGTTAGTGAATGTCATTAGGTGAATGTATGTTTCTACTCTCAGCTGTCAGACATGGGATCTCCAACTACGAATAAATAAGCATACACTCAACACGTGTAGTGCAAATGCTAAGTAAACAGAATGACATGGAATAAACTCATAGTTGCCAACTAGTGAATGGTTCAGCCGGGAGGTCCTGATTTTATGTCTGTGACGTGCGTCCTTATTCTCCAGTGAACACTGTCACTGTTCCATGTCAGCCACAGTGACTTGAAAACTCTACTGAGGTGGGGCATGAAGAAGTGAAGAGGGAAGTAGAAACTCATTTTCACAAGCAAGAGATACAATTTCTCTGTCACTTCTGCGAAACCGGTAAAGTCTATCTGTTAACAGAATCTCAAACCTCTCAAAGAAGGTACCAATAGGGAGAACTGTAAATGTCCCATTTAATTAAATGTTGGCACCTACGTAATATGGATTGTGTGGCCCAGACAACAAAAAGGATGAAGAGCATGTTTTTTAAGTTAAAACTTTGGAAAGATAACACCTGAACATTCAAAAATTACATTATAAAAAATCCATCAGTTACAAAAACATTCAAATAACGGCCCTGTTTAAAGATGCCACAAAAGCAATAATCTTCAGTACTTTGAACCAAAGTCAGAGTTTTGTAGCTTTATCTTAATTACACATTTAACACAAAGTTATTCATTAAAATGAAATAAAAAAAACTACAAAATTCTTTCAGAGGCAAATTATTGGTAGGGGGAAAACAAAAGTAAAATGTGACAACCGATTTATAAGTTTACTTAATTGCATGTATTTTTCCCCCAGAAGGGTCCACAGCCTATAAGAAAAAGAAAACAAAAACAAAAAGGCAAAACAAAACAAAAAAAAAAACAAAAGAGTATAAAAACGGTGCCATGTATCTTTTCATTTTCTTTCACTGCATTCAGTTTTGAGGGAAAAGTGTTCTTTTGTGGTAAAGTGTTCTGAGTTCACATATATTAAATTCTAGAAAAGAAACATTTGGAGCCTTTCAAATTCATTCTTGAATGTGTTGTACCTTCAACAAATATGCCAAGCAGCTACCTAAAAATTCTCTTAATTAGGAAACACACATACATACACACATACACGCAAACAAACAAATCTTCAAAGAAAAGAAACCATTCCTCATCTGGGACACACACGTATCAAGATTCAAAATTAAGGTCTGACACGGTCACTTAATTGATTTTTAAATAATTAAGGCTTCTAAAAGGCTCAGTGCCAAAATTCTCTGTATCAGTATTCGAATAAGATACATTTTTGCATTTTAGGTTTGTGCTTTTTACAGCCATCTTAATTCCACAGAATTTTGTTAGTAAGATCAGGTAACAAACGGAGTGTTAGAATTGTTTACTGACATTTAACTTTTAGTAGTTGTTAGACTAAATTATAGTGATAAAAGTTGAATGACTGAACAGATCTGTTACTATCCTGTGGGCTGTTGGCTCATTTCACCTTCTTTTCATGTTTAATATGGCCATTTCTTTTGTACTTGCCATTGAGGATTCCATTATGGTAATGTCCATTAACTGTGCTATGCTTATTTCTAGACCACAAACTTTTGATTTTTCTGTAGATAAATTTTGTCACCGAGGACAAGAAAAAGTAGAACAAGGCAGCACCAAGCAAAAGCACGAAGGCTATATCCAGTAAAAAATACTGACAGAAAGAGATTTGATGGACAGCGGCACGTAGGTGATGGGCTCCGTTGTGACGAAGAATGTAATCTATCCAATAGACAGTCCGATTGACAGGGTGACCAGGCTGATCCTTGTGGATTTCTGAAAGCTTCTGGGCCCTCTGACGGTAGCTATGGAGCGGAGAGGCAGAACACAGAATATCATGTCGCTATAAGGTTCAGTATTAGGACTTTCTCATTCTAAAAATGAGGAAAGTAATAAAACCAACTATTATTTATTAAGTACCTAGTACGTGCCAAGCACTGTGTTAATGCTTTAAACACAGTATCTTGTGTTAAGACAATAAAATAAATTTTAAACAAGTGAGGAAAACGACTCGGAGAGACTGAGTGACCTGATTATGATTACAAAGTTGAGATTCAGATTCAAGTGTTTCTGACTCTAAACCCCAGGTTTGTTTGGTTTATTTTTGCTATACCATACCTCTTACCCACACATACTCCTTCTCTCCCTATGCTTTTAAATACTATTAGCCAATGAGTCTCAACCAGGAAGAGGTGTATATTTATTAAATTCTAAAAGGTAGAGATGAGGAAAAATGCAGAATTTTGTCCCAACACCTTTTTTAAGCAATGAAATTTAACTTTGCTCTGATTTAAAATAACATTAAGTGAAGGTGTGAGGTTATTATACTTATTCAACAGAGGAAAAGGAGTTGAGAAACACCACTATGAAGCCATCCACAGATAACTGTCATACGGTGCATATATATATACATATATATAGTTTTTCATTTTATACATTTTTTTCATTTTATATATAAAATATAAATAAAATATATATATAAATACAAAAATGTATTAAATATGTAAAATATGTATATATATTTCATATATATGTGTGTATATATATACATATATATGCATATATGTATATATGTAGTGAAAATACCCTCTTAAATGGTTAATCGGAACTCAGAGTACCTCTGTATACTTGAAGACTGCACAACTGGGGTTTAATTGCAGTGTGACGTATGACTATAGCATGGCCTCTGATTAGGCCCTGTTTATATCTCAGAGAACACTGACAGAGGGATTGTATGTGGATAATCCAACCTTTTGCTTTTTTCTGTAGACCAAATCCAATCCCTGAAGCTCTGCAAGTATCTTCCCCCCACTCCCAACAAACTTCATTTTGGGGCTATATTTTACAAACCTTTCTTAAAAAGCCTGTAAAATACTTATCATTTTTCATAAAATCATGTCTTGAAAAACACTCGACTTTGAAAGAAGAGCTACAGAACACAGAGGGATCCCCATACTAAGGCACCCCGGCGCTCCCAGTGCCAAAGCTAGGATCAAGACACTGGATCCTTTAACAGGTCAGAGCAGGAAGGCTGCCTCTGAGCCCACTTAAGGCAACAAAATGAACCTCAGTGGACCTGAATCCAGCCTTTTATATGGAAGCTGCATCATTTTCTATGAAAGAATTTTTCTTATTGTCAGTTGTTTCTTAGACTATGACAATGTTTTTCAATCCAGTGTTTACCCATACCGTGCAGGTATAAACAGAAAAATTCTACTGTCATATGAAATGCAATATTAACTGAATGGCATATAAAAATGGGGAATACTGCTGTGTTTTTTTATTATTATTTATTTTTTTAAATTTAATTTAATTTTTTTATAAACATATAATATATTTTTATCCCCAGGGGTACAGGTCTGTGAATCGCCAGGGTTACACACTTCACAGCACTCACCATAGCACATACCCTCCCCAATGTCCATAACCCCACTCCCCTTCTCCTAACCCCCCTCCCCCCAGCAACCCTCAGTTTGTTTTGTGAGATTAAGAGTCACTTATGCTTTGTCTCCCTCCCAATCCCATCTTGTTTCATTTATTCTTCTCCTACCCCCTTAACCCTCCATGTTGCATCTCCACTTCCTAGTATCAGGGAGATCATATGATAGTTGTCTTTCTCTGACTGACTTATTTCGCTAAGCATGATACCCTCTAGTTCCATCCACATCGTCACAAATGGCAAGATTTCATTTCTTTTGATGGCTGCATAGTATTCCATTGTGTATATATACCACATCTTCTTTATCCATTCATCTGTTGATGGACATCTAGGTTCTTTCCATAGTTTGGCTATTGTAGACATTGCTGCTATAAACATTCGGGTGCACGTGCCCCTTCGGATCACTACGTTTGTATCTTTAGGGTAAATACCCAGTAGTGCAATTGCTGGGTCATAGGGTAGTTCTATTTTCAACATTTTGAGGAACCTCCATGCTGTTTTCCAGAGTGGTTGCACCAGCTTGCATTCCCACCAACAGTGTAGGAGGGTTCCCCTTTCTCTGCATCCTCGTCAGCATCTGTCATTTCCTGACTTGTTAATTTTAGCCATTCTGACTGGTGTGATGCTGTGTTGTTTTAAAACTACATGACTCATCTCTCCAGACCCTTTGAGACTCAGTGGTTAACTGGGTTAACACAAGAAATCAAATATTTAACCAAATCAAATAAATAAAGATTCTGATTAGTCATGCACCTGAGTCAATAAATCTCTGTGTTTTGGTGATACTCGTCCAAGGGAAACCCAGCACCAGTCAATACAAAGGGCACCAAATTTGGAATTAGACAGTCCTGGTTTAAATTTCTACTCTAATAGCTGTGCAACTATGGGCAAATTACTTAAGCTCTCTGAGTTTCAAGTGCCTCATCTTTATAATGTCATTAATGAAAACAGTGGCATACAGATATTAAGAGTATTAAAATGAGACACAGAACACAAAATTTGACACATTTTAGGAACCCGATGATTGTTCCCACTGGAATTTCTCCCTCAATTTGGCAAATCCTGGTAGAATATTATTCAAGGTCATACCTGGCTGGCTATATGATTGCTCCCTTTATTTTTCAAATTACAGGAAGATGGACAAAAAGCATCAGACACAGGAATCTAAAAGATATTTCTGTAACTGGTTTATTGACAACTTCTTGGTAATAACTGGTTACTGACAATATGCTGTGCTATTTATCTTTCATTTGCTTTCATATTAACTGAAAACTTACCTGGGATTATTGATAACTTTCACCAATGCTTCATACAGCTCTCCTTCAGTAACAGTCTTCCATTCTAGCAATATCCCCATGCCTTTTGCCTGGACCCGAGTCATAGTATCATAGTGGTCTCCAAAGAGTGGGATTCCCACTACAGGTACACCGTGATACATAGTTTCAAAAATACTATTCAAACCACCATGGCTCAGGAAGGCTTTAATATTTGAATGCCCTAAAGAAGGATTAAAAAAGAAAACAACTTACAGTACTGTATATTATTCTAAGAGATCTTCCAGGAATCTCTTAAAAATCCACCCTATAATAAATATACATTTTAGATATAGATTTTAAAGGCATAATTTCACTGATTCCTCTTCTACATCAATTAAAATGCTTATAAAAAATAATGAACTGATTTGTATATATTAGTTAAAAGCCATTTTTAAATAGCTAAAATTTATGGCTTTAACTTTCCCTCAAACGCAAGTATCAACTGACTAGCCCCATCTATTTAAGTGGCCAATAATAAATAGGAAGTCAATGAAAGCAAGAAATGCCAAGAATACCAGGGTACAAACACATTCTACTAAAAACAGACAGCCACTTCTGGATACCCAAGCATTTATCCCTCTCTTTATGTATTTTTTTTAAAGATTTTATTTATCTGAGGGAGAGAGCGAGTGCAAGAGAGCACCAGCAGGGGGAGCAGCAGAGAGAGAGAGAAGCAGACTCCTCACTGAGCAGGGAGCCCCTTGTGGGGCACCATCCCAGGACCCTGAGATCATGACCTGAGCTGAAGGCAGATGCTTAACCAACTCAGCCACCCAGGTGCCTTGGCATTTATCTGTATTAACAGAAAAACACACTTTGTTTACAAAAAAAAAAGTTAAGATGTGGGGCTGGACTCCTAAAGACCATGAAGAGTTTATGTGCTTATCCAAGGAGGAAAACTGTGCAGTACAAAGTATTTACAATATTCAAGTCATGTCAGCTTCTGTGCTACACAATTTTAGGGTCCAATTTCACAGTCTGGGGATATAAACAAGTAGGGGCTGACACATATAAAAATTAGTTGTAAGCGATGGAACATCATGTAACATCTAGTTGTCACAGGGATAAAAGAAGATAATTTATCAAAATTAATGAGGTATTTCCAAACCCAGATATCCTCCTGAGCAGCCTGTATTTCAAAAAGGGACCAAAAGCCTTGTGTAAGAAGTGTAGGACAAAGAAACACTGCACTTGGAAAGTACGTGCCATGGTCAGAAAGGAACTAAAGCTCACAGAAACAAATCTTTTAAATATTCACACACCAGGTACGGTACGGACTCTGGGTGTTGAACCTCCAGCTCAGCTGGGCACTGGGACACTCCCACACTGTAGCTAGCAGGGTTAGTCACTCAGTGTCACCTCTGTCTATAGATGGCTTCTCAACTCAGCCCATCTAACGGACCTGCCCTCTCAGTGCATTTCAAACTTTCTTTTTAGCAGCAAAACCTTCTCTTCGAACAAAACCTTACTACCAAGTCCTGAAGTGACAAATGAGACAGTGCTGGTGGGTGGAGGGCAGGAAGGAGTATGGAAGGAAGGAACGGGAAAGACAGTGTGGTTCGGGTCCTACTTCTCATCCCGGAGGAATCTTCTTATCATGGTGAGGAGCCAAAAGAAGACCCACAAAGTCATACCTGGTGATAAAAAGGACACTAATCTTGGCAAAGGTAGAGAACTAAGATTCTGAGAAACCTGGAAGAGCTATGAATTTGAGGAGGGCCACTGGATGTGAACCACTGTGTAGCTAGACCTCGCTGTACAGCCTCTCCGAAAAAACCCTTGAGAACAGCTCAGATGTTCTCAGATCATGGTATCACACTGTGGCACTGAAAGAACGGGCAGTCAAGATTCTCTTATTTAAATTTCCTGCTTCTTTCTACCTTCTATGGAACCTGAAGTCATAATAGTAAAGATATTTTTAAAAAATGAAAATGAAATACAAGTATTAAGAAAGGTAAATTGCCCTGTTTCTTCTTCAATTTTGTCATTTACAGAATAATATATATAATGAACTAGATGAAAAAAATTATATAAGGAAAATTCCTTGCTGTTTTTCGGTTATAAAATTCGATTTGCTGGTTTTTAGGATGGGTCACTTTATTGCATCTAAAAAATTCTTTTCAAAAGCCTATTTTTAAGAATATTATATAGAGCCACTTACATACCTCACTTTTTCAGTTACAAAATTCGATTTGCTGGTTTTTAGGACATGTCATTGTAGCTTCTAAGAAATACTTTTCAAAAGCTTATTTTTAAGAATACTCTTTAAAGACACTTACATAATCTGGTATATTTTAGTATTATTGAACAGATGATGGCCAATATTGCCAAAACTCAGTACCATTTTTATAACTTCCTTAATATCTTAATAATATGGCATCATGTTTTCCTAGAAATTTAATGAAATTACAGTATTATTATCTACACTTATCCAACAGTTAAATTATACATTTCAAATATCTTAAAATAAATGCACATAATTGTTATTTTAGTTTTCATCTGAGGGTCAGAATCTCAATAAATAAATAAATCGTGTTTATTTAATAAAATGTTTCAAAAATATCTGGTGACTTAAGGGTAAATCTAAACAGATGAACCAAACAAAGATAGGATGTTTATTGGCCTAAAGATGTTTCCTTGGCCTTTTGCTTCTCTTTGGTTTCAAATAAATGAGTAACTTTGAATTCTTCTGAGTTCTCAGATAAGTCTGTAATGAAATTCTAACACAAATCTGTATTTTCATTGTTTTAATTTTACTACCTTTAGCTGATTAGTCTAATCAGGTAGAACTTTATTCACTGTCAGTTTATATAGCTTATTAAGTATATTTTCCAGAAAATTAAAACTAGTGACTGGCCAAAAAATTTTAATTTATAGAACAAAGGACTATACTTGACAAATTATTTTCCAATAAATAAAGATTTGACTTGTTGGCTTGAAATCTAAGATGAGACACTGGATGACACGGCGACTCTTTCATAAACTACACACGTATTAGAGAAGATGTTCACATGCAAAAATCACATTTATACAATTCAGATCCAAAAGCCAAGTAAGTACCTACATGCAGCTGACTTACCAAGCAGGTCATTTTGTGGTAACCATTCTATGAGCTTAGTGTTGTTTCCTAGATTCTTTGGTTTGGTTCCAGAAAACCTAAAATGTACATCATCAGACAATAAATCTTTCAAAAATCCAACTTAACTCCTGGTATAGACTCTGTGGTTAAATTATCAGATTTAAAATAAACATTACATGATCTTTTGTTGATATTTTAAGAAGGAAACCATGCTTTAGCAACAAGAAAATTTTGATATTCTTTTTCACATTTTCATTGATTGAGATTAAAAACAAACAAACGAACAAAAAGCACTTGGCTTATATTGAGATTTTCCTTCAGTTCTTCTCACCCGATTACAGTGGATGAGGGAGTGGGGTGGGAAGGATCCAAATTAACCTGTTCTAGAAAGTCACTCTCCAGCAGGACCCAGAAGGAGAAACGCGAAGAAGCAGGGAGGCCCCACTGGGCAGTGGATAGAGCCTAAGGAAAGTGTGAGAATTGGAAGAAAGCAGGAAGTACTCTCCTCGAGCTTGGCCCCGGAGACAGGCGCTCTGTGGGGCAAAGGATACAATTCAGCGGTTTCTTAAAGATCAAGATCTTTCCAAGATAAACCATGAACATGCTTAATGACTCATCTGACAAGTGGCAAGGGTCTGAACTGAGCAGACACAACCTGTCCTCAACAAAGCAGAAGGGTGCTTTCTGGTTTTCCTAATAGGGAAATCGCAATCGCACTGGCATCCAGAGAAGAAGTCCTAAACAGTGGGGATAAAAATATGTGTCCATTTCATAGCTCAGAGAGGAAAAGCGGGACCCAATCTTTACACAATTGTTATAAAGGAAAAACCTGTAGTATTCAGGCCCTACTAGTAATGGCTTGAACCTCTGGGGACGATGTCAGTCACTGCAGGATCCGTGGAGCCCAAGGGCAGTGGCAGGGACTAAAGAGATCCACGGTACATGGTGTTCAGGTCTGATGTTTACGTGGTGGGCTGGGGAAGTCCAGAGACGGACACTTGTTGGCAGGGTCTCCCAAAGGAAGCTGGGGGCAATCTATGGATCTGCTTTAACCAGCATTAACTGGCAAGTTACTGTGTTTTTAAAAACCCAGTATCTTGGATAAATAAAATAAAAAAGCATGTATAAAGGACGAACAGTTCCATGAAACATTTTACCTGTTTATTTATTCACCCATCATTCTTTACCTCATTCCAACACTGATGTGAAGGTATATAGAAGGTATCTAGAAATGCATGTAATTACAACAATTTTTTTTAAATGAAAATAACTAAGAGAAGGAAACAGGATATAAAGCTGAAGGTAACACAAAAATGCACCCAAGACAAGGATAAATCACTCTGCATCATATTTTCTTTGCAGGCTATATAGGCTTGATATCTCTCTCTTTATCCATCACAGAGTCTCATAAATTCGTCCCTAGATTTCAACAGGCTAAGAAACAGAATGAGAAGTCAGGGGCATCCTGCTCATCTTGCCAGGGAGCCAGCACGCTGTGTGGACTGGGACCTGCCGGCTAAGCAAGGAGATCCCGAAAATCAGCAGTGAAGAAACAACGGGCATGATTACCTTACCTCCAGATCACCTTCTGCGGCAGTCTCCCCAGAGCTCCAGCCAGCTTGTTAGCAATGTCTTCGGACAGGTACTTGACACCAGCTCCGAAAGATACCAGGACAAAGCCATGTTCGTTAGCACCATTTACCCACCTCTGGAGATCCTATCAATCAAAATGCGGCAATTAATTTTATGAAAGGCCAACATAGTTCATAATCAGCGTCATCAAGAGCCCAGTTTTTAAGAAGTATTCAGGTAACTTTCCTGAACAATTAGGGAGTAGCGGAGATAAATAAATTTTTTCTCTAAATAACGGCTTCTGTTTAAAACAGTTCATCTGACAACACTAACTGAAATAAGGAGGGTGAATGGCTAATTTGGTTAAGATCAACAAGTAGCAACAAAAAATCAGTGTCTAATGGCCTGAGATCACAGTCAGAAAACTGAAACTGATGTTTAAAACACAGTCAGGGATAAATTTGTTTGAGGAGGGTCCTGGGGTGGCTCAGTCAGTGAGGTGTCTGCTTTCATTTGGCTCAGGTCAAGATTGGATCCGGTCCCGAGTCCCCACTGGGCTCCTTGCTCAGCGGGGAGTCTTCTTGTCCCTCTGCCCCTGCCTGCCACCCTCCCTTGCTTGTGTGTACTCTCTCTCTCTAATAAATAAATAAAATCTTTTTTAAAAAATTGTATGAGGATACAAGCGAAAGATATGGACTGGACATAAAACAAAAACATGAACTACCACCCTCACTCCTACCCAGGAAGATTTTTGTTTTTAGGAGTGGGCTGGCTTTATCTCCGTCTAAGCTCCATCATTTTCATCTCTAAGAGTCATACGGTGTCATACGATAAGAAAGAGAAGAAGTTAGCTGACAGGTCCGCAGATCCATAGGCCTAATGATTTGTACTCTTTCTCTAAATATTCCTCCGACTCACAGAGAACACAAAGCACACATGCTCTATAGTGAGGCATCCAGGGTTTCTGGAAATCTCTGAGTGGTTGCTCTCCCTCACAGTGCAGGAAAATGCTAAATTCCAAACCTGTCCTTAGACAGCCAACAGATGCCGGCCCACAGCAGATCCGAGGTTAAGGAGGGACAACTCTAACACAGCAGGAATCACTGCCCTTTTGGAGGAAGACACATTCACAGATTTTTGCCAGTGTGGTTGACTTATACTGAAAATGAAAGCAGTTAGTTTTAAGGGATACTATCCTTGCTTTGTTTTATTCTGTAGGCACAAACTTGTTTTTATGGTACATCATCCCCTTGAATAAGTCTTTTGTCGAAGACACTGAGCTTCAGGTTCCCATATGAAAACTAATAGAGCCACAGCACTTTGAGGAACACAGAATTTCACTGCAAGGAAAACAAATGTGCTGTCTGTGGACAACACTTTTGCCATAATGTAGGCACGAAAACGGGGGGCAGGCCCACTCTGTATTCACTATGTGAAGAGTGAGCTGTCTCACGGACCCTGCGGGTCTGTCATTCAAGATGAAAGAGTTTCTACAGTGTCACCCGTGTTCTTTGCATTTCACACCCCTTTCTGACACACCCTGATTTATTGCCGGGGGAGGGGTATGGTAACTGCACAGTAAGCACTGTCATCACAAGGGCATCACCACCTAGCTCCATACCAAGTATTTATATGAATATTAGCCCCCACCCCACCAACGGCTTCCTTTCCTTTGTTTTTCCCCTTTTCTTTTATCACTTAATGAGATCTGTATTAACAACTCTATTGTACTCATGCTTAGCAGGAAAGAGGGGGCCACATTTTATGTCCAAAATGAGTTAGTAAGTAGTGTCACTGGATGACTGGGATGATGATGGAAGGAGGTACACCCTTCTGGCTACTGAATGGGTAAAACAGGTTGTGGTTATTAATAAAGCTCTCAATTTACATTCTACTGCACTGACCAATAATATCCCATGTAGTGAAAATGTAACAGTGTTATCTGTGGATTCAAAATAAGAAACAAGAGCAAACTGATTTAAAATTTTCATTTTAGAGACGGTCCTAAGCCAGATGTACTTAAAACAATATGAACGCTGCACGGTAGAATGACTGTAATACTACGTTTTATCCCTATGGTTTGTCTTCAAGTAATTTATCACCTACTGTCCAGTACTCTAAAGATTAAAACTTCAGAGTCAATGCCATTTTTAAAAAGCTTACATTCAGATATACCAACCCTTACAGTCATAATGTTATTTAAATTTGCTTCCCAAGGACTTAAAAGGTCTTTGAGTTTGAACTGACTCTATGCAATAAATACTTAAGTTGTTTGTTCTTTGTTCTGCATGAAACAAAATAAAATCCATTAACCTATTTTTCTAGATTTTTTTCCAGCCATACTCATTAACCATTTACAAGAATATATTCAAGTATGTAGCCTTTATTGATATGAAAGCGAGTAGAGAAAATTTTACTCATTATACTTCCCTTCAGGAAAAGCGCTCAGCAATTTTAGAAGATAAGACTCCAATTGGCTTAGAATGAGGGAAGGTGATTTCCAAACTGTTATTCCCTGGCCTGGAGGAAGAGGAGATGCGAAAGGTCAGAGAAGAAAACAGTGAGCCTGACTGGGGTCCTGGACAGAAACCCTTCCCCATGATCTCTCATCTTCAGCCTAAATTCACAAAATGTTTGGTGTGACTGATGTTTTATGGAAACAGAGAGGGGCTGGGTTTGGGGTCTGGCTGACAAGGGAGACAGGCAGCAGGAACAGCTGCACCAGGCAGAGGCTGAAGGGATCCCGAATTTGCTGAACTCATGGTGAGGATTTGGGAACAGGAACTTCATGAAAAGTATGCCTGGCTCTCCGAAGAGCAGAGAGGCCCCAGGTGGCATCTTGTCTCGATATACTCAGGCAGTATTTTCTGGAATTTAAGATTCTGCAATTATAAAGTGAAACTGATTTAATAACAACTCTTAAAAAAAATAACCTTCATAATAAATGTGTTTAATGTAAAACAAAACAAAAACAATGCAATCCTGGATATTTAACACTGTCAAAGGTATTTTAGAATGTCCTTGCTACCTAACAAACACCAGGTAAAAATATAGAGTGGGGCGCCTGGGTGGCTCAGTGGGTTAAAGCCTCTGCGTTCGGCTCAGGCCATGATCCCAGGGTCCTGGGATCGAGCCCCACATCGGGTTCTCTGCTGGGTAGAGAGCCTGCTTCCCTTCCTCTCTCTCTGCCTGCCTCTCTGCCTAATTGTGATCTGTCTGTCAAATAAATAAAAAAAATCTTAAAAAATATATATAGAGAGAGTGTTTAAAAAAAAAACCCTCATTTATAATATCAACAAAAACCACATATATCTAAGAGTAGAGTAAGCCTAACAAAATACACAAGATGTACATGAAGAAAAATTTACTAAAGGACAAAAAAGAAAAACTAAGTAAGTGGAGAGATGTAACATGTGACAGGAAGGAAGAAACATCAATGTCCTGAAGATTTTTTTTTTTTTTTAATAAAATTAAGTTCAATGTATTCCCCACCTACATTCCAAGAGGACTGCTACGGAACTAGAGCAGAGTCTAAAATTCATCTGGGAAAGAAAATATACAAGAAAGGCTAGGAAGATTTTGAAAAAGTACAGGGAAAGAAGAGTTTTCCTTCTAGATATCAGAATGCACTCCAGAATTTAGAGTCCTCTCTCTGAAATGTTCAGTTTTAGAAGAGACTGCAATGAAGGGGGCAGTAAGCTAGACTGCTGTCTACACAGGAACTGAGCATTTCCATCAGTGGGCACAAGTCACCCACCATCGATACAGTAAAAAGGAGGCTAGATCCCCCCCACTAATGTAAGAGTTGCAGGAGCATTAGAAAGTCAAAATGAATTAGAATATATGAAGTATTTGAAGAAACTCCCCAAAAGATCCTTTTACTGTTTCTGGGTGTGGAAGGCCTTCCTGGTCCAGCCACAAATTCCAGAGTCATAAAGAAAACACTGAGAGATCTGACTACAAAACAATAAAACTTCTAGAGTAAAAAAGATAATTTTTAAAACGAAAATAATAATAATAATAGTAATAAGTAGATGCAGAAATATTTTCAATATACATAGTAAAAGATTTATATCCAAAACAAAATAATAAGAATTTTCACAAACCACCTCAGGAAACACCCATTTCACAGACGGAAAGCAAATGGCATTCACATGGAAAGATGCTTAGCTTCACACGCTAGCCAGAGAAACACAAATTCAAATTGTTTTCATCTCTTATTCTCTGTAGTCTCCACAATCCTCTGTTAGTGGTGTCAACATAAAATTTAATCCATTTTAACTTAAAAAAAAAAAAAAGGAATGCAGTATTTACCCTTAAGTATTAATGTTTTGTAATTTTCTACCAACTTTTGTGTTTTGCTGTAAGGATAAAATGTCTTTTCCTAAATGGCTTCTGGGTCTATTGACTTAGCACTTTTCCTACATTAAGATTATCTTTCAAATATCCATAGTTTCCTTTAGTAATTTTATAGTTTCATTTTTTTTTTTTTTAATCCTTTCATCATCCAGAATCTCTTTTGGGGGGAAAGAATGAGTCTGGGATCCATTCTTATTTTTAACCCTATGGATAGCTAATCTTCTCAACACTATTGAATATTTCCTCTTGTCCTCATTAATGCAAAATTCCGCCCTCACAGCGGATTTCTGAGTTCCATTCTGTTCCATTGATCTATGTATCTGGTTATTCCTGTGCCTGGGCCAGAGACTTTTATTGACTGTTATAACAAATTTTAATATTTGCAGTGTTAGATTTCTCTCAATTTTCATTCTGGGGATTTTACTGGTTATTCCCGTATTTAGCATCTTCTTTAAGAACTCTTTTTTTTTCTTTAATTAGAAAACAGTGTGTTTTGTTAAGTTTTAAAAATCACAAGAGCTTTGGTTATAGTTGTTAAATACATCGAGGGACACACTACTGCAGCCCCTAAAGTAGTAAATACTGCAGTATTATATTAGTGACTTTGATTATTTTATCACTGCTAAGTTTGTGAGATTTATAGATATCAAGGGGAAACTTGACGAACAAAAGGAATTTAATATGAACTTGTCATCGATTATTCTACTCCTATCTGCTCTCTACTGTGTTGAGTGAGCTCAAAAACAGCTTCGAGGTTACAAGTAACTGCATTTGTGGAAGTAGACA